GGATGAAAGAAGTAAAGAAATTTATTTATGAATCCTTGCGAATGTACTTGTGGTCGTGTTGTAAGAGCCGTGTGAGGGCTTGCGGAGGGAAAGACTTAGTATCACAAAGGAGAGCGCATTGAATGACGATAACTTATGGAAAACGGACTGGTGAAGATGAGTAGACAGAATCAGACGCCAGCCACTTGACTATCCCAAGACTGGTCCATAGCAAGTCCATAGGCAATGTAAAAAAAGATGCGAGTCCGTCCGTCCACGCGTCCACGCGGACGCGGGTCATGGGTTAACTCTGCGCCGCGTCGGGCCTTCCTTCAACAGCATGCCCGAGCGCAGGCCGAGCCACGTGACTACACGCGTCGCGGTATCGGAACCAAACCTACGCATTCAATCTGACTATTGACGAGTGATTGTTACCCCTGAAGCCCACCAGGGATGCCGGCACCATGCATACGATTCATCTCCTCGTTCTCTCAGTTTTCCAACACCAGAATCTCCACGCCGGCCATGCCCGATGGTCATCTAATCATTACAAAGCAATATTACAAACGTGAAGCTAAGTTTGCTGCAGTTCGGTTACATCGCCGGAGCCCTCATATACTTATAAGGGTTCAGGAAGTTCGACTTTTGACACAAACGCACTGATTCCCCTTCCGCCTTCCCATCCTCATATCTCTCGAATTTCATCATCCCAACTGCTATATGTCTGAGCTGATATTTGTGAGCGCTTCGGACACATTTAATTCTAGCCTGACTGATGCTCAGATTTTAGGTCACTGGTGCCTCCGGCTTCCTCGGCTCCCATGTGGTCCCCCAGCTTTTAGAAAAAGGTTATCGCGTCCGAGCGTACGTGCATCCCTGGCAGATGGACCAGTCACACTGACGAAATACAACAGTGCGGCCCGCGGCGCCAAAGTCAACCACCTCAAATCCACCTACGCCAGCTACGGCAATCGCTTTGAAGCAGTCGAAATCACAGATCTCTCGCACGGACAATTCCCGGAAGCACTCGTCGGTGTTAATGCGGTTATCCACTTGGCGTCCCCGCTTGCTGGACGGGCTGAACCCGCTGCGCTACTCGCCGTATGTCACTTTTCTCTTTTTAATTCCGGCCCATGCTGAAGAGTTGTAGGCCGCGGTAGACGGAACATTGAACGTCATAGTGCAAGCTGAGAAGGCCGGCATAAAGCGGATGGTCGTTACCTGCTCAATTGCAACCGTATACAACCCAGATGAGAGCTATACGGATAAGGGTAAGCGGCTCTGTCCTCAGATTCAGATTAATCGTTCGCGGACTGACATGTACCCAGATTGGAATCCCATCACAAGGGAATTCGCGCTCACTGGCGGCAACGAGATGGCGACCTACGCCGCCTCGAAGAAATTCGCTGAGCAGGCGCTGTGGGAGTGGGCCGACAAGCACCCCCACGTCGACATCACCACATTGAACCCGCCTTTCTTTTACGGCCCCGTCTCACTGCACTTCCCCATCCCCGTGCCCGACTTCAATGCACTCTCCACAAATGTTCTCGTGTACAACCTCCTTTTCCCGGATGGCGCATTCGCGACGAGCACGCACTACATTGATGTGCGCGACGTGGCCCAAGCACACGTCCGCGCGCTCACCTCCCGCCCCACTGCCGAGGTGGGCCGCAAGCGCGTCCTCTTCGCGTCTCCGTACGGCTGGCCATTCCAAAAAACGCTGGACTTCATCGCGGCACAGCGCCCCGCGCTCAAGGGGCGCCTGATCACCGCGACGCCCGCTGTCCAGCACTTCGATGCGCTCCCGATAGACTTTGGGCGCGTCGAAGAGGTGCTGGGAATGAAGGTTTCAGACTTCCACACCATTGAACAGGTATGTCGTTGTTGGTCCTCGCTCTATTTTTGCTCGGTGCTGACCACTGGTTGTATATTAGACGACTCTTGACACCGTCGATTCGCTTGTGGAGTTGGAGAATCAGTGGCGGAGCGCGGGACACAAGATCGAGGCACCGGGCGTAACCTATTGAACCCGCACCGTATATCGGCCACTGTCAGTGATTGTACAAACCAAATTGTATTCAGTTGTAATTGTTCGAGTTTCCGACCTCTTGAATCCCAAATGGGATCTGCTCGCAATCTTATCACCAGCCAAGGAAAGTGCAATATTTTGGACTCTGAATGAGTGAATCCCATGCGAACGAGGAGGCGGTCCGAGGTAAATGTCTAGCGATGAAATTATAAGGTGAAAAATCCACGTAGGTATACAGACAAGCCGAGGATGAGATAAGGATACAGAATGAAAAACGCGAGGCACCTCGCGCACTGCATGGCGGAGACGGGAGATGATGGTGATGAAGCAAGGGCGAACTATCGATACAGAGTGCACGAGCGGGGCTCAAGTGCAAGAAGTGGGGGTGTCCAAGAATGAAAAAGGGCGGCTCGGGAGTTCAACGAGTGTGGCGTCGCGGTGCGGCGCAATGAGACAGGCTGAGATTTACAGCTTCTTGCGGAACATAGGGCGCGGCCGTTTTTTTTTTTTCCATTTCGAGCCGTTTTTTATCATTTTGCTGGGATCGCATGTTGTGGGCTCGGTTCGTGGCCTATGTCTCTAGAAACTATATAGCCGTGATTGAACGGCGATTCCGGAGGGCATGGAATCCTAGAAATGGAATGCTATATTATATTTACTTTACCGAGATCCCTTGCAGCGCGAGAGTATCTGAGTTGAATGAGTCCTGGCATCGTCTGTGCATACCTATGAGTGTTTCGGAGGGCACTGTGAACTCAGAATGAGATTTACAGCCCTGTAGCAGACAAACAACGTGAAGGAGTCAGTGAAATCAGTGTTTAATGATTTGCCGCTCAAGATTGATCCTACTCGGTGTTCTGGGTAGTCAGCGGCCCAGGGTCTGAACTGCACCCAGCCTCCGATATCTTTGAGGGATTCCGTGGCTCACATTCGCCCTTGGCGTCCCTGTCCGGCGACGCGACGGGCCCCCATTTGATCGTGAACGCGGTGAGAGGAATTGCTCATAAATGGAAATACGTCCTAAAAAAACTGAAAGAAGGAATCTCAATGCACCTAAAAGAATCTCTGAACTTGATTTGGCCACGGGTTGATCCAATTTCCCTTGACATTTCTACCTACGTCAATATATTTCTTTATTTGGTGTGCTATGCCGCGGTTGATTTCAGTATTTACTACCACCCTTCCTGCCTATCCCGCCCATGATTGAGCTCCCATATTCCAAGATTAATACTTGAATACTCAGATTTCGATCCTAAGGGTCCCCCGGCATTATTTGAATGTGAAATGAGGTCTGTAATGCTAAAAGCCACGAAGTCGTCACCATTCTTAGGATGCGCGCTTTTTGCGCGGGCCTTTTTCGAGATGCGTTGGGATTTAGCCGTCTGCTTGACCTGTTTAGTTCTGAGGGCATGGATGAGGCAGGGAGGTTATAACCTGTATAAGTAGGTGGGCGGCGCGTAGCAGGCCGGGTGATTATCGTGACCGACGTGACCCGATCAAACTCCGCCGGATCAGCCCGAGAGAAGATACACTGGAACGTCTGGGTTACCGAGACAGTCAAACTCCCAATCGTGGATGGGGCTAGACATGATGATCGATGATCAATGATGATGGCGGAGACCACATTTCCCTACATCCAGGACTTCATCCGCCCCTGCCGACATAATCTTCGGAGCAGCATACACGGTGACCCGATGACGCAACATACCTAGGAGCTCGGCATCACGGAATCCGCATCAAAACATTTCGGCAATTCTGTGCGTGTACCTCGGCATGAAGTCCTCCTTGCTATTCGCGTCCATCCTCCTCCCCTTATTCTCCTTCCTTCTCTACCAAAAATTCACCAGCATGCCTTCGCTCTCCACCGTCCGCGCCTTCAACGCCGCATTCGCACCCTCCTACACCCCCGTCGCGATCTTCGTCGGCGGGACCTCCGGCATCGGGCAGGGCATGGCGGAGGCCTTCGCGCGGCACACCAAGGGCAACGCGCACATCGTCCTCGTCGGCCGCAACCGCGCCGCCGCCGAGGCCATCCTCGCAACGTTCCCTAAACCCACCGCGCCCGGCGCAAAGCACGAGTTCGTCGAGTGCGACATCACGCTGATGAAGAACGTGGGGCGTGTTGCGGGCGAGCTGCGCGCGCGCATCCCGACGATCAACTTCCTCGTGCTGACGCCCGGGGTGATGACGATGAACGCGCGCAATGAGACGGAGGAAGGCATCGACCGCAAGCTCGCGGTGCACTACTATGGGCGGTGGCGCTTCATCAAGGACCTCTTGCCAGCGGTGGAGAGCGCGCAGAAGGCGGGGCAGGACTCGAAGGTGATGACGGTCCTCTCGGCGGGAATAGGCGCCGGCGCCATCGACCTCGAGGATCTCGGACTTAAGAAGCACTTCAGCGTCCCGAACGCCGCTCTCGCGGCGCCGACGTACAACGATATCATGGTCAATGTGCGTGTTCCCCGCTCCTAACAACTATGCGCGTTTAACGCCCCTGCAGGACTTCGCGGCCCGGCACCCTGCGCTCTCCTTCATCCACTCGTACCCTGGTGGCGTGCGCACGGGCCTCCTCAAGGCCTCCGACTCGCGCCTCCTGCGCGCGTCGAACTTCCTCGTCCCCCTCCTCACGCCGTTCATGTACTCGGTCGAGGAGGCCGGCGAGCACCAGCTGTACGCGCTCCTCAAAGCGGGGCCCGGGGCCGCACGCACGAACGCCAAAGGCGACGACATTGGGCTGACGAGCCGCTATTATGGGTCGCCTGAGGCGATGAAGCGGCTGTGGGCACACACTGAGGAGGCAACGGCGGTTTAATCTAGTCGATTGTTAGCGAAGGATTACCGTAGGATTCCGTTTTTTACCAGCTTGGATTCTGTCAATTAGGCTCTACATAATTGATAAATAGACATCTCATCTTGTCCCGAGCGCGCCGGATATGTGTCATTGGTCTTTGCGACCCATTGAGAAACACTCAAAAACATTGCCGACCAAACATGGCCCAGGTCTGATTCGAACAGACGCCCTCTTGATCAACAAACTTAACTCGCCATTCATTGCATGCAAGCGCGAATCCATTTCGCCTCTGGGCCCTATCCCTCATACTGGAGGCCGCGGGTATACCAGGTCACACATACGTCTAAATGATTGGCAAAATTAAAATGATGGACGCAGGGACGGTTGTCAGCTGAATCGTTTAATTATTGTGGGCAAACGATTGGCGAACAATAATCTGATTATTTCCCTCGAGTCCTCGGGCGGCTTCCGATCATTCAATATGACTCACGCATTGTAAGACGTGAGTGTGAGTGGTCGCAAGAAGTTCGGGAAATTGCGGGAGGCATGTTACCATGTCACGGTCAAACTCGTAGGAGCCAAGGGATCAAATTCAGACCAAGGAACAAGCGTGAAAAGTTTCGAACACACCCGTGTACCCGTTACGGCCGTGCCGTTGACCGTGCAGTCCCGTCAAGGATTTTTCAGCCACTTGACGGGCCGTTCTGCGTAAAAATTAAGCAGCACAAGTTTCAAGACTTCATCCGAGAAAGGTACATTCCGGCGGACAAATTCAAGGCCCAAATTATCTGAAACGGAGTAAGAGGGGATAATTTTCAGCGGAGGACTCCCTCCAAGCGCCGCGCCGCGATTTCGAGAGGCGCGATGAAAGGCTCTGTGTGGCAGAACGTGTCCTCGAGACGAGAGTAACGAGGGAATAACCAGAGAGGAAAACCAGATTGAGTATCGCAGCGGACATCGTAGAATTTCAACGGCGTGCAAGCGTCTGAAGCTGGGAGATGAGGGACGGCGCGTGCATCGGAGTTGCGCAGGGTCTTCGGGTACTTATGTGTACTCGTTTGCGCAACTGGGAAGGAATAGCGGCGTGGGGCTTGGGATGGGTGCAGCGGGCGGATGTCGAATGTGGGGAAGGTGGGGTAGGCTTGAGCGGGGTGAGGCGGCGTAGGAGAGATGGGACGGCTGCCGGTGTAGTGTGGGCGGTGGATAGGGCGTGGACGAAGCGTAGCAGGCCTTCATGTCGGCGTGGCGAAAGGAAGGAGGGTGATCGGCGTGATCCGGCGCTGACCGCCGTGACGTCGCTGCGACGCAGAACCAAACAAACGCGTCGCGTCACGTCGTCGGAGGGCGCCGCGGGAATGGCGCACTCCCAGCAAGGGACGACTTAGAGTAGAAGATTGGCCATGCCGGATCAATGCCGAGATCGCCGAGTGTTAATCGAAGCGGAGCACGGAGCGGGGGCGAGCGGGCGGGATTCGGGAAGGAGGCAGTTGATAGAATGTGGCGGGTGGCGGGCGGAGTTAGATAGTGGCTTGGTGAGATTGGCGGGGCGGGATCGGGGGCCGATGCGCGTCAGGTATTTGGAGCGGCGGTGTTGCGGGGCACCGGGGTCGGCCGAGGTGCGACGAGAAAAGTGGCAGAAGTGGCCGGAGCAAGTGGCGGGCTGTGAACTTCCGGCCGATGCCCGAGCGATGGATATTTGATGTGGTGGGGGGATCGGTGATGTGGCGGGAGGTACCGGAGTAGTTTGAAGCAGTCTCCACCCAGCCGCGGTTACGAGGTCCATCAATACAAGACATGCCTACGCTTCGCTCCGGCGCTCGACCTCAATTGTTGGGAATGAATCTAAGCTTCTGAAAATATTTAAGTGTAAGTAGGAATGTTCAGATTCACAATGAAAGCTGTTGAGACACGGGACTCGCCTGCTCTCGCCAGTAGGCTGAAAATTAGGTTTGCTTAAACAAAGCGCGTCTCAGCGCCAATACTGTTAAAAAATATTGTTCTGTTTGAACCCGAGATAAACAGTGTTTATCCCAAAAAAACAACAGCTTGTGAAAGACGGAACTATCACCGTGGGCTGTACGAGCCCGGAATGACCCCCAGAGTAAAATTAAATGACTACAATACATTCTGGGCCCTCTTCACGATAGTAGGGCCCAATGCGCACTTCAAAAAATGGTCACCTGAAGCCCTGACTTTGAACGAGGACTTGAATAAACTGTTTAGAACTACCTCCGTATGGTGTGCTCTAGATCCAAGACTGTCTATCTACTGATGGAGAAACACCTTATCCATACCAGGACATGGCAGAGACATAGTTTGATGATAAATGTTTAAATCTGGGAAAAGGAAGGCGGGAAGAAAACATATGTTTCAGGGTGTGTTGATTGTGTTTGCATTGGTTTCATGGCACGGTGGTTGTCATTCTGGCTTGTATGTTTGACTTGCGGCCCTTCTCAGCAAGTCTCAAGCTCGAGTCCCACTTGAACACTGTTTGATCAATGTTTGAACTGCGCTTGAACACTGCTTAATCAATGTTTACCAATGTACCTACCCTACGCCAGCCCATAACCATATAGTAGGTTGAACAGGTTGAACAGAGTAATATTTTTAACAGTGATTGACGTTGAGACGCGCGTTTTTTGAACAAACCTAATAGAGATTTCTAGGGGACGCGTGATAGGCCATATTTAACACAGGCAACCTCCTTTCAGATTTGTTCTCCGTTTGCGCCGGCCCAACTACGCACTTCAAAGTACTCCGGGTGGATCCAAATTCCCCTCTCTACTCTCGCTCAGGCCTTCCGGGCACTCCTGGGACCTCTTAGTAGCCGCCTATTGCATTATAACTCGGGGGACACGAAAGAAACGAGGGATCATTCTATAATGCGCGCTCCAAAAACACGGTCTGAGGCACCAGGAAAGGAAGTGAGTCTAGACCGCGGTCGCGGAAGTCGCCGCACGATCGAGAAGAACATTATCACTTTCAGAGGCGCCAGGAAAGGAAAAGGATCTACACCGAAGTTCAGGGATCTCCGGAAGATCACAAGACCTCATATCACGTGCAGATCCCGGTTTTGAATGGCGCCGCCACCACTATCATTTCCATATGATATGTGGGAATTCGCCCACAGCGTCGCACGCTGTTTCGATTCCATCAATCGATGCAGACAGGTACGGTATATATTAGTTTTACTTATCTTTGGGCATAGGCTGTGTGGGCGGACCATGTGTACGCAGATGATATTGGTCGTTGCCACCATTACCGTTTCCCGAAGTGATTAAATTGCGGCTCACTGCGGATGGTATTCGCGCTCCAACGCGCCACCAAATCCAGGGAAATGCTCCACAAAATTAAGGTTTAATTCAGCTCAGCGTTAGATAAATCTAGTTACGAAATGGAGGGAGCCCAAGGCAACTACGGCTGCGCTTTCCGAGAATTCGATCCAGGATCAAAGAGGGGTTCCTCTCCGATACCTACGACCCAGTTCCTTCCGGTCTGCTCCGTAACCTATTTGTGCGTTTTCTTACCTCCGATGTATATCTCACATACGTTGCCGTGAAGCTCTACGATGCGTTTTGTGAACCTGAGCATAATCAGAAATCTACAAGGATAGACAATGATCGTCAGGCTAACGACTTATTCACAAATATAAGGTTTAGATTGTCATGGAACGCCAGCCCGAGCTCTTCCCCCATGGGTACACTTAGTAAGATACCAGCCTGCGGATCCAAAGTTGGCGCACCCCGTCGAGGAGCTCACGGAGACCAGCTCTGGAGTTTCTTCCGAGATTGATGGTTATGTAGACGGGAGGCGTGGGTCCACGAATCGACTTCCTATTGCAGGGGTACCTTCTCTCTGCGCTATGGATGCTACCGAGGGAAAGTCAACTAAACCCATGTAACAAGCTCGCCTATACCGTTCCGTCAAGGTTCCGTTAAGTACTACGAGCACTCCACGCTCACCGCGGGAGAAGCGCGTGGAGTGAGACGATCTATTCCTGGACCGACGAACGCAGTGAGTTGTAACTGGAGTTGGGAAATGCAACCGTCCGCCGAAAGGTGCCGGCATGCCGAGTTTCGTAACCTCCAGACAGGTGATCAATGCATCGTGGAGCGGGACTCGCAGTCTTGCTCCCTCAAACCGAGCCATTACACTTCCCATGCGTCGTACGGGACATCAAAAGGAGTGTTCAGTTTGATGTAGCCTTCCCCCGCCCGCCATGAGCTCTGAAGACGTCAAGACTCCGGAGCCCTCTCAACTAGAGAAGCTCGCCGACGACTCTTCCAGCATCTACAGCGTCTCCGACCAGATTGCTCAAGAGACTGGCCATCCAATCCGCTATCGATCATGCAGCTGGCAAAAGGTCCGTCACCTCTCTCATCCCGGTAGCCCTTGTTGACCCTTACCTCCGCAGACGACGGCATTGCTGATGTCGGAGTACATCTGTCTCGCTATCCTCTCGTTCCCCTGGTGAGTCTATTCCGAGGGCCGGCGTGTGGCTTGATTTCAATTCTCATAACCAGGTCTTTCTCCGTCCTGGGAATGGCGCCAGGGGTGATCGTCACGATCTCGGTTGCAGCGTCGGTCCAGTACACGAGCTACATCCTCTGGAAATTCTGCATGAAACATCCCGAAGTCCGGGACGTCTGTGACATCGGCCGTATCATATTCGGTGGCTCGGACCTGGCGTACAACCTGACGGGCCTCATGTTCATCTTGAACAACACCTTCATTCAAGGTGATTATCGTTCGATTTATGCCTTCATATTATTTACTCAGCATTGTCTTAGCCCTTCACTGCATTGTCGGGGCGAAGCTGCTGAACACGCTAACGGGTTCATCGATGTGCACCATTACCTTCAGGTGCGTCTCGTGCTAATCTGTTGATTCAAGCTGAAATTTATGCGGGCTTTCCAGTGCAATTACGGCCATCATATGTTTCTTTTTCAGCCTCCCGCGGACTCTAAATCAACTCGGAGGGCTGGGGACATTCAGCGCCGTCACAATGGGGATTGCCGTCCTTCTGGCTGTGATCTTTTCCGGAGTACAATCTCACCCGGCGGGCTACAACGGTGTAGCGCCTATTGTCACCAGTGTTCCCGTTCCTGGGACGACTTTCGTTGTTGGGATGTCCGCTTTCTTGAACATAAGTTACACCTTCATCGGGCAAATCACACTCCCCTCGGTGAGCACTTCCCTTTTGTTGTCGTCCCCATCTGACTCGGACGATCTAGTTCATTGCCGAAATGAAGAACCCCCGCGACTTTCCCAAAGGTCTGACATTCGGATTGTTTCT